GGGGGGGGGGAGTGAAAGATCATTTGCTGCCGATGGAGGACAGATCCCTTTTCCACCGATCAGTCACAAAGAAAAGTACCAATGCCATTTTGAAGCCATGGACCTAGAAACACAGCAATCACACATTTGAGCATAAGAAAAAAAAAGCAACAACCCCTAACTATTTTGGGCATTCTCCTAGAAACATGCTAGCCTAAACAAAAGCATTTTAATGCCATTCCAAAGTCATTTAAATTGTATTGCTATCAGGTTTTCCAAAGCACCTTTCAGTTTTATTTGCTTAACAATTTATGATCATGGTTTTTTTAACTGCATCCATTCAGCAAAGGAAGATAATGAACTAATTAATCAGCACACATACATGACAAATCCACATGAAAATGCAGGATTTTGCTTGGCTGGAAAAATCTGACTTGCGACGATGGATGTCTGAAGCTTTTAACGATGATGGGCTATAACTGTAAGATGCCAAGCTTATTTCATTCAATGAAATCAGCGTAGCAAGGAAAAAAATAGATATCGTCCTTTTTGTCTGATGACTTACCTTAAAATCTGGATGCTTGTATGAAAATGGAAATGTTCTGCATTTTCTGATTGTCTCCAAGAGATCTGGACTTCGCTGTGTTCCTCACGCTCTCTCTGCTTCTCTATCACCCCCCCTTTCCTTCTCCCTCTCTCTCCCCCCTCTCCCCTCTCTCTCTCTAACACACACACAGTATACACTCACACACACAGCAACACAACCTCAACATGTATCAGTTGATGTCTTTCAATAAATAAACACAGGCACACATGCAGCAACTTGCAGGTGATTTGGAAATCCAGTGGAAGGGTGAGTCTTTAAGAGCAGGATGCTTATTGCCAAAAGAAGGGCTGCAGTTCACATCCACACAAATCCACAAGATCAAGATAGAGTACTCAGATCAATCATTATTGATGTCATGGTGCTGTTGAGTTTATTGGGATCAAAAATTAGAGCTTGACTAGGACTCCCCCTACTGTGCTCGACCAAGTAGGTGCTGGGGGATCAGATTACCTCTAGTGAAGCTAAAGGTAGAGAAGGGGTGGGTAGATGTACTTTGGGTATCTTTTTTTTTTTTCATCACTGTGATGTGTGGGTGCTTCGCTCTAACACCAAACATATATAATGATAACGATTTGATAGCTTCCAGCAAGACACATGCTTTATAATATGTAACCTGATCCAAGCAAAGACAAAAAAAATGGCACCTTAGCACTTGCGCTCCTGGTATGACTGTTAATGTAAAGGAATTGATGCAACATTTAGATGCTGGTCTGCCAGCTCTGCAACAAGCTTCTTTCAGTCTGCATGCTAAAACTGTGCCACCGCTGTGTGAGTACAGGCAACATGAAATTGGTGCACAAATCTTTCATTTTTATGGATAAACCAATTACTGCTCTGCTCAATCCTGTTCTTCAAGTAGGGTAATGATTAGGAAAGTGTATTAGTAAAAAAAACCTTGCTTACTGTATAGCATAACTAGCTTTTTTTTGTTTCTAGTATTTTTTGTTATGTGGTTTTACAATACAGCCACATGTATTTGTTTGCTATTTATTTGTAGCTAATTTAGTTCTTTTGAGAGAGTGGTCACTATTTTGTGATCAATGCCTCTTTTATCATTTAGGATGTAGGACATATGCAATAGGACATAAACACAGTGTGTGAAGTGCTGTAACCCGTAGCAACCAATAGGCAATTTTTTCACCATGCTTGCAGTTCTAAACTGATGGTGAATCCTAATTGGTTGCCATGGGTTACTATGTTTTGCAGATCACCATTGCTCCTAGCATAGCTATAATAATAAAGCCTATTAATTCTCTATGTCTATAATCAGATCAGTCGGTATTATTTAAAATCTTTTAATTGTGGGCTTCCATCTCCTTACGATTGATGATAGATGATCCTTTCTCTTTTGTTGTAAAGAATAAAAATGTTATGCTTTGCCGAAATTTAGCTCATCTTAAAACAGTGCTGGTATGATTTTAATGTATTACGTAGTGCCTAGTGGGATTAAATAAATGAATTCTCAATCACAAATAGATAGGCTTATTTAATAGGCACTCAAGTAAGAAGTAACCAATCAGAATTCACCTTTCTGTAGTTTACAGCAGTCCACTCATTGAAAAATTATTGATGATTGGTTGTATATTTTACAGTTCACACAGTGCTTTTTTAATTTAAATAAGCTTGATTTCAGTCAGGAAAAATGAAGCTTGCTTTCTGACTGATGAAGTGAGAGGAGGGAGAGCAGAATAAGCGAAGGCCAACTGTTAGGAGAGCAGGTGGTGAAAGGGTTAAGTGTCAATGACGGATAATCATGGGAGAGAGAATGGAGTAGTTAAAATGGGAGGATAGCAGGCAGGAAGAAAAAGCTTTTTTGGGGGGAAGGTGTTTGCAGATGGTTAAATCAGTTAATAGTTAAGGAAGAAAAGGACTTAACTTGCAGAAATCAAGGACTTAATTAAAAAGAGTGCTGCAGAGGTAATAGGTTGAAAGGCTTAGGAAGGTTGA